TTTAATTCCAAATTAATGGTGATTTAATTCAATTACCCATAGAATAATGGATGCTAAATAAAATAATTGTTTGTTTATGGGTATATTGAAATTCATTATTATAAGACATTTATGTATCGCCCAAAGGTTGATTAGTTGTTCTCATAATCAATGAATATAATTGTGTGTGACTTATGTGTGCTATTAGATTATTTATATATCCAAAGGTATTAGATAATTCTAATTGGTGCATGTTTAGTTGCAAAATAATGATTAAATTTATTAGCATCATTATGTTTGTATGTTGTATGTTGATGTATCACCCAAAGGAGAACATCAATATACTATTAATTGATGTTTGAATATATTATATGTGTAGCATGTATTTTATGTCTCAAAACACTCATGAAAATTTTTATTATGCAGTATCTGTTCCCAATTCACTAAATTCTCTTGTAGCGTCTGTTCCAATTTTTAATGGGCTTAATTTCTCTGACTGGAATGAGCAAGTCCAATTTCACCTCGGTGTTTTGGATCTAGACCTTGCTATATTAGAAGAGAAGCCTGCTACTATTACTGATTCTAGTAGTAATGAAGAAAAATCCTATTATAAAGCTTGGGAAAAGTCTAACAGACTCTGCTTAATGTTCATGAGAATGATTATTGCTGACAGTATTAAGACAGCTCTACCCAAAACTGAAAGTGCTAAAGAATTTATGGGTTTTGTGGGAGAGCGCTCTCAAACAGCTGATAAGTCTCTTGCTGGGACACTAATGAGTACACTGACCACCATAAAGTTTGATGGGTCACGTACTATGCATGAGCATGTCATTGAGATGGCAAATATTGCAGCAAGACTTAAGTCCTTGGGAATGGCTGTGAATGAGAATTTCCTTGTACAATTTATTCTCAACTCATTACCGACTGAGTATGGCCCGTTTCAAATGAGCTATAATACCATGAAAGACAAATGGAATGTGCATGAATTGCATAGTATGTTGGTTAAGGAGGAAACGAGACTTAAGAATTAAGGAAGTCACTCAATTCATTATGTAAGCCACCAAGGGAATCAAGGAGCTGGAAAGAAGTTTGTTAAGAAATATGATAAGGGCAAAAAGCCATTAAAGATTAATGAGGCATCTGTACCAATCCAGAAGAAAGCATCAAAGGGTAATAATTGTCATTTCTGTGGGAAATCTGGACACTTCTAGAAGGATTACCCAAAACGTAAGGCTTGGTTCGAAAAGAAAGGTAAGCTTAATGCTTATGTATGTTTTGAGTCAAATTTAACTGATGTTAACCCTTTTACTGTAATTGAAAGATTTATTACAATATATGTATTGGGGTAGTAAGGGTGTCACACTTAGTCATGAGTTAATTTTATTTTAGGATTTTATTATTTAAATGTTGAGTATTTTAATGTTTTTTTGGTTCAAAAATAATACAATGAGAAAATAATTTGGAAGTTATACAAGTCTCAAAGAGAACTATTACTTCTAGTTATATAGAAGACTCACATCAAGTTAGTAAAATTCACTCAAAATGATCAAAAGTTCACTCTGTGCGAGCCAAGTTAGCTTGCTCAAAGCGAGTTACTTGAGAGCTCTAAGAGAAGTAAAATCCGCTTAATGCTATCACAAGAGTGCTATTGATATAGTAGTGATAATGAAGAACACCTTTCGAGGTGTTTGCTCCTAACAAAAAAGAATAAGGAAGGAAGAAAGAAACAAAGAGAGTAATTCTATTGTGATTTCTTTTCCTCTCCCTTTCTCTAATTCCACTACAAAGTTTATATGGAATCAACACATAAGATTGTCCAACCACCTTGGGTTAACAATATAATACTAGTAAAAATAAAAAGAGTATCCTTATTCAGTATTATTCGTATATTAAGATTTATTTATAGCAAACAAAGTCACTCAATGTAATGGCCTCTTAATGGTGCATTTGGCCCTCCCACTTTCCACTAATGGTTACTCTATCATCTCTTCAACAGGTGCTTGCGTAGGTTATGACCCAACTCAATATGGAGAGCTTAGCATAGAATTTATAATCATCCAAAGAAGAACTATATATCAAAATATCATCGAAGAAAACAATGACGAACCTTTGAAGGTAAGATGAAAATAATTGGTTCATGGTTGCCTGAAATGTCGAGGGGGAATTTGCCAAGCCAAAGGGCATAACAAGAAACTCAAAGTGGCCATCATGAGTATGAAATGCAGTCTTGTATATGTCTTTAGAGTGCACATGAATCTGGTGATATCTAGCACGCAGATCCAACTTGTTGAAAATTGAGACACCCCCAACTCATCCAAGAGTTCATCAATAGTAGGAATTGAGAACTTATCCTTCATGATGCCAGCATTAAGGGCCCTATAATCGTTGCAAAATCACCACAACCCATCCTTTTTACAGACAAGAAAAATGGGAGATGAGAAAGGGCTCTGGCTTGGTTGAGTGATCCCTTGCTCAAGCATTTGTCGAATTAACTTTTTCATCTTCGATTTCTAAAAGTGTGGGTATCTATATAGATGAACATTAACAAGTTTGGTTCCAACGATCAAATGAATGTGATGGTCCAAAACATGATGAAGTGGTAAGCCTAAAAGGGGCTAAAAAAGATCATTGTATTTAAGCAATAATGTGTGAGCCAGAGGAGGAATGTCAAGAGAATCCTTATGGTGAATAAGAGCTTGTAAGTGATGCATAGAAATTGGATTCGATATAGATTTGGTTTCACCTCTTAGAGTCACCTATTGACCTTTTCAAATGAAATCTATAATGAGAGATGAGTTATCATGTGATACCCGGCCAAACAATTGAAGCCAAGCAAACCCTAAAATAATATTAGGACCTTTAATCTCCAACACAAAGAGATCTATTGTAAATTCAATTCCTTGAAGAACCAGAGGCGTTGCAGGACAACTATATTGGTAGCTCAATAAAGCACCACTTCTTATGGAGACATGAAAATGAGGAATAGGTGTTACTGGAAGAGCCAATTGTTCAACTAATGAGGGTTTGATGAAATTGTGAGTGCTGCCACTATCAATTAAAACTTGAAATTGCTTAGAACCATAAGATTTGAACACGCATAGAGACCAACCCTAAAGTTGACAAGAGAAAATGTTAAGGGTGGAAATATCACCGAAAATCTCTTCTAGTGTCATATCCAGATTCCCCACATCCTTGTTGGCAGTGTCATTGTCATCCTCACAACCAAGAAGTAATAGGTATTTGCTTTGACAACGATGATTGGGTTCAAATTTTTTATCGTAATTGTAACAAAGACCCTGCTCTCTATTATCACGCAACTCTGTTGGTGTTAGATGCCGAATTAGGAGGGTCGATGAGGGTAGGAAAGGTGGAAGTTTGGTTATATGGGCGGTTTGAGAATTGGGCTAGGGTGCTAGAATACGAGAGGCATCCCTTGGGTTGGTCACACTTGAAAGTTAGGTTCGGCCCGTTACGTGTCCAAAGCCAAAGGAAGAAAGCCCACAAGGACTCCTTTTTACCGTAACAGTTGTGTCATCAATCTAAGCTTCATAAGCACTAGTCATGGCAAAGGTTTCCATTAAATTTGTTAGACGATGGAATTGTAACTCACGACGGATGTCCGCCTGAAGATCGGTGATGAAAAAACTAATGAGAAGAGGTTCTGATATACCTATAACCTTGTTCAGCAATTTCTCAAATTGAGTTTGGAATTTGGTAACCGATGACGTCTGTGCAAGTTTTGAAATATTTCCCTCATAATCCTTATAAGCATTAGGACTAAATCAGTGTTTAACCACTACAATGAAAGAAGGCTAGTTAGAAAATAGATCGTTTCTCTTGGCCCATTGAAACCAAGACACTGCACGACCTTCCAAATGAAATGAGACAATTTGTAATCATGTCTCTAGTGGGGTTCCATAATAATCAAAATAAGCTTCAATACGAAACAACTAATTAGCAAGATCAAAACCATCAAAATGTGGTACATTGAGTTTCATTGATTGAGGTATTAATATTTGTGAACAATGACTCAAAGAATCAATGTGAGTTTGCTAAAACTCTATATGAAGGTTTTCCGTCTTGGTATTAAAAAAAATCATAAACTATTGCAAGGAAGCATGGATTGAATCGGAGAGAGTATCTAGTTGTTTTTGAGAAATAGCAGAAGAAGTGGAAGAAGGATAATCCATGAAAGCACCAATGATACATTAGTGATAGTGAAGAGCACCTTTTGAGCAGGTGTTTGCTCCTAACAAAAAAGAATAAGGAAGAAGGAAACAAAGAGAGAATAATTCTATTATGATTTCTTTTCCTCTCCCTTTCTCCAATTCTACTACAAAGTTTATATGGAATCAACATGTAAGATTGTCCAACAACCTTGGGCTAATGATATAATACTAGTAAAAATAAAAGAGTATCCTCATTCAGTATTATTAGTAATTAAGATTTATTTATAGCAAACAAAGTCACTCAATTTAGTGGGTCTCTTGATGGTGCGTTTGGGCCTCCCACTTTCCACCAATGGTTCCTCTATCATCTCTTCAACAGGTGCTTGCGTAAGTGTATGACCCAACTTAATAAGGAGAGCTTGCTTATGGGCTGTATCAGCTATGAATGAGTGAAATCAGAGAGCATTCTTGGAAGCACACACATGTTCACTCCAAGTGAGCTACATGGACGTTCTGAATGAGCATCAGACCTAAAAGACCATTAGAATAATTATAAAAATAGAGTTTCTAGAAGGTCTCTAGAATCCCACTCCAATTATCAATATTCTTCTTAGTATAATTCTAGAAAGATTAAAGAGATTTTCTGTGAGTTCTCTCTTATAATCACGAATCATTCAATGGTTCCTCTATTGTTGTGTAATTCTTAGTCATGAATAATTAAGTTTTCTATTGTTAGATATTGAAATAGTTACTTGAACTATGTAATTTTCTTTGTGCTTTTTCTAAAGTATTTATTCAGTTAATCATTTTACTCTTGTATGCTTGTTGTGGCCCAAGCAACCTCTTCATGATTTTATAATTTTTAATAAAGGTTGAAAGCATTTTTGAAATTACGACCTAGATAAAACATTGATAATATTTATTACCAAGAAATTGGGATAAATTTTATCAATCAACTTTTAATCCTTGACTTTTATGCAAGATTGTTTAACAAAAATTATCAAGGAGTTAAATTTTCTTTAGACAATCTAGAATTTTTCACCTAAATTAGGGTTTAAATATAATTGTGGATTATCAAGTTATTTGTATAATCACAATATGAAAAAGAGATTTTACATAAAAAAAATTAGTAAATCAATCTCTGACTGTTCTTATTACAAATTCAAATCCATCATTATTTATTGGTTTATTTTACTTGTATTAAATTTAAATATTTATGTCAAACAATTTCAAATACTTATTAAATCGTGTATTTAATATCAAAATTATATTATATAATTATAAATTAAAGTCAATATAAATTTGATACTTGGATTTTTATCTATATAACTACTTGTAATAATTAGTATATTTACCAAGTGTTTATTAAACATAATAATATATAATTGGAAAGTAATATTTATATTATAAATAGATTTGTAGAATTAGAACCAAATCCACAATCTCATACAAATCATGACATCTAGTAATTTTTGGTGAAATCACACATTCATGCTTTTATAGATTACTTACCTATTTTTAAGTTTTAATCTTGAAATTAAAAATGATAAATTTTCTTTTTAAAAGAATCTCAATTATGCAAGGAAATGATTCTTGCATAAATTATTTACTCTTTAAAATAGTATTCTCTCTATTATTTATTATATGTAAAAAAAAATTCTTTTATCTTGAAATATAAATAAATTTTAATTTCTTTTGTCTCATTTAATAATTCTCTCTAAAATATTTTTCTTTAATACATAAAATTTTCAGTTATATTATTTCTTTTGTTATTTATAACAAAAATAATTTTAAAAAAATATTATAAAATTAATAAAATTTAATACTCAACTAATTTTTAATATATTAAAAATATATACTTTTCTTCTTATAATAACCACAAGAGGAAGTACAACTTTAATAATGATTAAGGGGTGAAAATAAAAACACTGCTACTAAAAAAAGCCAATATTAAATATTATTAATAATACTAAAAGTGCTTAAGAAAAAAAAAATATATCCCACGTGACACGCGTGAAGCCGGCAAATGCACGTGGCAAAATCTCCATCGAAGAACTTTCAGAAATCCCAATTGATTCTCTTGTCTTTCGCTTTGACGTCTGAAGCAAGAGTTGCATTACGTAATGCGTATCTTTTACATATAGTTAATTATAGAGATAATGATATCAATTTTAGCTTTCACCTTTCCTTTTTCTTGACGCGTGTTATAAAAAAAATTACTACTTAAAAGTTAAAATTTCAAGTGTTTTCTGTGTTATATAACTGAGGAACAATCTCAATTAAATATACCAAAATAGAGCAAGTCAATTAAAGAGAACGGAGAGAAAAATAGAGCAAGTTAATGACACTATCATTTACGTATAGAAATTTCACCAAATAGGAGAATGGAATGAGAACAGTAATACAGTATTATATATAAGTAGTAGTGTAGTATTATTAACAAGAGAAAAAAAATGGAGAAGACATGAGCATAGAAAAAAAA